GATTACGCATTTGAACTGCCTGGGATACAAACGTCATGCGACTACACTCTTCAGCCAATAAGGGCAAAGGTGTGTCGTCACGGAGGCGGTTCCAGTTTGTGCAGCCGGGTGAGAGGTCGCAGTGCATCTAACCGTAATGCATTGCATCAGGATCAGAATGCGTTGCTTTAAGCCAGCGCTGTAAGCAAGTCAAACGCACCCAATGACCGGACTGGGGAAACGCAGACTTAATACAGAGGACTAATGACAACAACCAGAAACAGCTGATTACATGGGGATCCTACACGAGGTTAACGAGGGGGCGTGGCACACGGAAGGAGCGGATGATCGGGGCAGGACAAGGGTAATGTTGGGATAAGATCTTTATCGTTTTGGAAGCCATTAAGAAAAAAATGCTCTTCTTATTTTATCCTGTTCATTTTGTGTTTAAATGCTAATTTTTTTTAAAAAAAATTTAAACATATTTAGGTGTAATTTTGTTATTTCTTATGGGAAATATTCGATCAGAACTCGAACTTTTTAGGATTCGATCCGGAGTCAGGAACTGATTAAGTTCGAGAACCGAGGTACCACTGTAATGTCTCATAATCACGACGGGCAAGAGGCTACGCTAAACCTGATGTAGCGTCGAAGACGTCCACGACCCCTGCCGAGACTCTCCGACTGGGCAGGTTCAGCATAAAATTGCACGGCTGATCTAAAAATACCCAGAAAGCATTAAAATGTGACAGTCCGTGTCCCCTGAGTGCCCTGGGGCCTGTTTCAGGCGGATATGGACCATCTTTCCAGACTGTCTGGGACAGCTCTTCACCATTGGCTTTTTACGAAAACCAAGCTGTAACAATAATCCCGGCATTTCTGTTTTTGCCATTTCCTGTGCTCCATAATTAGCTGGTACAACACAAATGCAACTGGTTATTTGGACTAATTAAGCAAATGCTTTATTTAATGGAGACACAGAGGACCGAGCTGCAAAATTTCAACGGCCTGTTTTTGATATAAATCGGCAGGTAAAATGCGTCTATCGTGCGTCGGGATGCGAGGAAGAAAAAAAAACTCGAGTATCCAGCTGCATTAAAGAAGACATGGTCGACATCTGTAGGACCCTGAAAACCTTCCGACTGATAGAAGCCCATGTGGCACCTTAAGCAAGCTTGCTAGGTTGGCGCCCCCCAGAAGATGGAGATCTGCCTATGTCGCGAAGTGACCAAATGATCCATATCAGGCAGGACACTTCCAGCTACTTCAGGTTTCGCAAACTACTTTAAAACCAAAAGGCTCAAGTGCTCAACTAATCAGTTCAGTTCTTCTTCTACTTTAGTTTTTCCTTGATTGAAAGACTCATCCAGCTGTTTCACATTAACATTAGTGACACATGTATGATTGCAGGAGACTGACCAATCAGCACACAGCAAGAACTCAGTGCTTAAGTGAAATCCAGGTCCTTTTAATTAAAATGCTAGTTGAAAGTGTCCTCGTTGACATAGATTTTCTGGTCGCCCTGTGTCTAATGGGTCGACTGGCATTGATACTGACATTCATGATAGTCGATAATGAAGGAAGCAGTCAGACTGAATGTTGCAGGATATGATTAAGATGTGACACTGAAGCAGAACGTTGCACCAAAGCTCAGATGCTTGACGTCCAGCGTTTAGCACGGGCAGCTTCGGGACGCCAGTCCGTAGACGTGCGATGCGTCGGCGTGAAGCGTTAGGTGTGTCAAACGCAGTGAGCACGGCGCGTCGGCGGGAATGGGACACACTGACTGGGTACGGGGCTCACGGCCTGCCCTCCGGGTTCACAAACGGGGCGACCGTACTTCACACAGCACTGCACCACTTACGGACTCGGAGACACAAAGGGACGGCACTCCAGCGGGTGCCGGAATAGCTAATGGGATTAAGCTTTGAAATTAATTCAGTCGGCCACACAAAGCCTTGGGGAGGCTGGGCGCGGGATGTCCTGCCCATGATGTATTATGGGATGCGTGTTCCAAGGCGCCGTTATTCTCGCAGCGAAATGTACGATTAAAGCTTTGGGGCAATCGGATGCAGTGTGGACGTCAACCTTCTCGCTGTAGGTGATTCCTCCCTGATTCAGCAACGGCGGCCACCTGATCGTGGCAGCGAAATCATCAGAGGTGTCTGACTACTTTGAAAGGTACTTTTAGCTTTTTTTTTTTTTAAATTGTCAAATAATGACATAATTATAAACCACAACAGTGTAACAGCACCTGTGAAACATCTCACAATAAAACATGCTTCACTATAACCCTCCGTGATTGGCTGGTTCCATGTGACCAGGGGAGTACCCTGACATCCTGGGGCCCCCTGAGAAAATGTAACCATGGGCCCCCTGCTTGGCTTGGCGTTTTCAATTGCTTAGTTGATTTTGCTGAGTGGGGGGGGGATTTTGGGCCTCCTACAAAGTGCTGGGCCCCCTGAATTTGTCATGGTATCCATACCCATCCGATGCCCCTGCACGTGGCCTCTCAGCACCGACACGCTCATAGCTGCTGAGGCCTGACCTGGAAGCATGTTCACAGAATCGTGTCGCTTCGGTTCACTGTTAGAGCCGGTCGGTGGGCAGGTTGGGTGATCGCAGGCCCGAAATGCGACCTGCGTGTCTGCCACGCTGTCTTGCCGATTTCCGTCACCGGGTGCGATGCGTCCTTGAGTTTCTCTGCTCGCTGACAAGAGGTAGAGAGACGAGAAGGGTGAGACCCCCCACCCCCAGAAGAGGGGGGGAGTTAACCCTTTCAGAATGGCCACAGTGAGACCAGCTGAGTGTCTCAGTCGACTCCCATGCCAGTACGACGGTAACGCAAAGGCATTTCTGGCACAGTGGGGTGTTCCACCGAGGTCTATTTAAGTGCCCTGAGCACAGCCAGGCAGACGGGGCCTTTCCATTCCAACGGAGACGCTTGTTTTCATGGCCGTCACAGCTCGCCGAAGCCATTCAGCCCGTCATGACACTTCCAGAGACGAACGGGCTGTATTTAATATTTATTTCTCCCAAACTTTCTGCGCATTTTCCACTCCTAAAATTAGAGCAGCTTCTTACATAACCTGCCTCCGACGGATCGCTCGCGTCCGTGCCGGAGAGTGCCTTCCTTAATATGCGCGCTCCTGCGGTCTAATGGAAGGGTCCGGAAATAACCTGGGTCCGGGGGCTATTAACGAGTTGGGAGGTGGGGGCGGGCGAATCAGCAGCGAGATGCCGGAGCTGGAGGTCATACCTTGGCAAGGCTTTTATTTACTTTTGGGTCTGCCGGCTGGAGGGGCGGCCACATTGGTCGGGGGCTGGCCGTCGCTCTAAGCCCAGAGTCCATCTGCTTGCTGTCACCTTACTTGACGGGGTCACGGAGCTGCATACTTCAGTCACATTTTCTGTTTCTCTATCGACGTGACATTATACCTTAAACTAACCACTAATCTTTTACACAAAAACCCAACACAAATTAAAAAAAAGCTCTAGATTACGCTTCAGAATTTAGCCCCCAGGCAATATTTTTATGAATGTTGATTAATTCATGTGTGATGCTTGTCAACGAAGAATGGGACATTATCCAATGAAATCGATCTCCGTTAATCACTGTCATGTTTTATACTATATACAGTATTTCCAGGAGCAGGGACATTGGTACTGTGGTTACTAAGAAGTTTCACTATTAAATAGAGGAAATGGGGGTTTCCCCCCTCCCACATCTGGGACCTGATTGGCTGTGAAGCACAAATTATGTTACACCATCCAGCAATCCGTCCACAGGAAGCCCCATCTTTGACCCCCCTCCTCCCCCCCAACATACAATTGTACAACATACAATCCCAGGTGACATCATCTCTGTGACAGAAGGGAGGTCAAAGCATTACAGCAGGTATCTCGTGGGAGAAACTGCCGCAGTGCATTCTGGGATATGTATTTTTCCCTCCTTTTGAAGTCTTGAGCCTGAGTGAAGGTTCCAAAACTGGCCACTTGCACCAGCACACACACATGGGACCAGAAAGCAGTAATGAAAAGCGCAATGGGTGTAACACCAGCAGCCAGCAATCTGCCCCCCCCCGTCAGCCTCCCAGTGAACGGGATGCACAGACAAAAAGCATAATCAATAATTTAGAGATTCCACTGCAATCCATTACACTACATGTATAATAGATGGAATCAGACCCACTTCACACGAGCTTTTAGACCTGATACTCTATATCATAACCCAAAGACTCCAATTAAAAGCCCGATCTGGCACAAGTGCTAATCACCTTTTATAAGATAATTTCTCATTTTGCTCAGGTATATGCGAGTGCACTACCCACTACCCAGAGGCAGAAATGTAGGTGTGTGATGGTCATTGTATCAAAACTGGGCACTGCTGTTTGACCTTTGAGCCTGGTCCTTGTTTTGAGCTGATTCAGCAAATATTTCCAACTGTAGGCAGTTAAATCACTTCAGTGACCTATGGAAGGATCTGCCAAGTCAACAGGATTAAAATAGTGATGCAAATATATATTAATGTTTATGTCAATTGTAGTCAAACGGAAGTCATGAAGAATCCTAGTCATGAAGAATATGTCCCAGTTCAAATCTGGCCTTTTCTACCAATCAGTGGAAGCACAGAACAAGCTATTTTACTGCTGTTTTCCAGAAATAATGGAAATGAAAACACAGTAAGGCCGACACATAAAGAATTTAATGCTGAATGAGGCTGCATGCCCAGCAATAAAGGAGCCATGTGTTATGTCGGAGGTCTGTGAAGTCACACACGTCTCGCCCCGGTGAGCTCGTGCATGACCGTTATCCGGAAAGCAGCCGTGCATGGGAAACGCCGCTCGCCAAAGCTGCAGCCGGCTCCGTCGCTGGCCCGCAAATCCCAGCGGGCCGCGACAGAAACCTAGTCCAGGAGGCACAGAACCGATAGAGCATCCGGTCTGTGTCCTGACGCGGCGGTGAGGAGGAGCTATTTTCGGAAACGGACCCGGATCACGGGGTCTGTTGTCGGATCTCACCTCCATGGTGGTCAGGTTGCACCTGTGGGTCCCACCGAACCACCCAGTGCTGGAACACTGGTCGATGTCCACGTCCTGCAGGTTGACATCCACACGCACGACACCCCTGGAGGAGGGAGGGGGGAGAGAGCGGCTGTTCATATCTCCAGGATGGTACACGGGCCAAACTCTGTTAGCGTTCTGGGACAGCTGAGCCGGTACTTTCCAGACACAGTCAGAGAAAATGTTTAAAGCTGTTTATCTGGGTAGTAAGTGTATATTTGCTCAGAAGGAAACAAAGTAACATTAGAACATATTCAAACAAACACCAACACAATAAAGATGCTCTCCAAAACGTTACGTATATCTAGTTGGGCGGCTAGATGGACACCGCTTCAGCTCCCAAACCTCTCCTCAGGGGCACCCCAGCCATTCCAAGTATTTCTTAATTTATCCACCAGCTCACTTAATTAATCAACTCAATTAGTTGAATTGCTAAATAAGGTGACCTAGTGGTTGAGTCAATACTACATGGTTGGTTGCTGCACACATCAGGGTGATTTTAGGAGAGTTTTTGAAATGTTTAATGCTTAAGCTGACACACTTTGACAGACATAATATCATTATATATTGAAGATCATTTAAGCATCGTCTCCTTTGTCTGCCTGAGGCTGCTGCAAGTACTGTAGGCTGCTTGCGGTTCAGTCACAGAAGGAGCCCTTCTGGGATTTGATCTCATGCTCTTCTCCAGTGGAAACTCAATACGGTGCAGAGCCGGCGTTCTTCTGGACACGGTGCTCTGCGGACATCTCTACAGGCTGCCTCCGGCTTATTCCCTCCAGATGCCCGTTAATAATAAACAAACACCAGCACTGCAACACGTTTTTTTTTGTCCCAGCAATGCGTCTACGGTATCTAATGCATATTTAGTAATGCATCGATTAAGCAGTAGCGCTGACTGACAGAGTACTCGTGTTTTTATGTAAATAGGAACAGGACCAGCAAAACGGCTTAGAGGGAGCAGCTTAGCTTGCATCAGAACTCCAACTTCTGACTGCAACCTGGTGGTCAGTTTTTAATTATTTATTCCTTGGCACTGCTGACCAGGGAAGGAGGCCGTCATGGCCTGGAGAGATCTGGACAGATTCCACCCCCCCGCGACCACATCACAGCCTGCTTCTGTACAGTTCCAGATGTTCTCCTGTCTATTTAGTGCTTACACCTGGTCAACAGGCGCTTTTCTGCAGTTCCATCAACAGCTCAGGCAAATGTTCATTCTGTAGTTAAGGAGACAGATTATACCCTTGTGCCCTAAGGAGCCTGGTTACAGCGCCCCCTATCACCATAACCAGGAAAAGCAGTTAGATGATGTAAGGATGGATAGATGGATGGTCACAAGACATAAGCTACATGAGATCTTCTGTGGTACAGCATTATGGAGCCACATAAGCTTCTCACAAGGACAAAAGATCCTAATATTTAGTATACAGATGCCAAAGGAACACACGTCCTCCCTGAATTTTGGAGAAATTCTTTTCTCAATGACCTTCTGGGAGTTCAAAGCTTTCAGGATATATACTCTTAACTATGAAGACACGGTAAACAAGGTCTTTGGACTTTGTGCACATTTTATATGAAGTCTGTCATGTTTATGGAAAAAAAAAAAAACATTTACAGAAACTATCACCCCATCCTGGATGCACCTAAACCTACAACCAAAAGCAGTGGGTAGATGATGGATGGATGAATGGATGGATGGATGGATGTTTCCATAGAGGGAACCTTGAGCTTTGCATCTAAATGCTGCCCAGTGCTGTTTTCAGAGGCAGAAGCAGAATGATCCAGAAACCCAAGCCTGCAAGACAAACTCCATAATGTGCTCCAGAACCAGGACATCTGCTGTGCGAGGACTGTGTCCAGGCCCCCCCAGGACAGCTGGGCTCGCCCCCCCACGCTTCTCCTTCTGTCAGGACGATGCCTGGCCAAAACGGCCTGTTTTATCCTCTCCCCCCTCCCCATCCCTGCTTTCTCACACAGGAGTCTGTATGTCCGCCCCCCCCCCCCCCTCCCAGACTCCCCCTGGCGTTGCCACTGAGCCAGAAGCTCTGAAGCAGAGCCAAACATTCTCCATGACCCACTAAATGGGCACGGTGCCTCATCACACAGGGCCACCTCCGGGCAGCAAAAGATAAGCACGTTCGGGCCAGGAGCGCCCCGGCGCGACCCCGGGGCGAATCTCCAGCAGGGTGCCGTCTTTCTCCCCGGCATGAGATGGGGCCCGGCCCACGGGAGGCCAGAGAGCGCCCAGCACGTCCTACAAACCAGCTGGCATCTTATTCTCCCTGTCAAACCCAGCTAAGGCCCTCAAAAGACCCCAGAGAACGTTAGGTTCTGCTCGCGATGGACCCCAGGACGGGCGCCGGCTTTGCCGAGCGCGATTCCCGACCCGGCTGGACGAGAGCAGCCAGTCCCGCATCACACATCCGAGTAAAAACAAAAGCCCATTTTCCCGGGGGTGGGATTGCTAATCCCAGCTCTGAGGAGAATCTCTGATTACGCTAATCTGTGTGAAACAACACTGACACTGAATGTGGCCGATGAAGCCAAAGCACCCTTGAACCAAGACTGATCCAGCCAAGGGCACGATCTTGGTTAATTTCTGCGGCTCGAAAAGGAACCGGGCCCTGAGGATGTCTCAATGTGTAATTGCCAATTTTTTCTATCTAATGCCTGAACTGTTTGTTCTGATCTGTTCGTTCTGGACAGTGTGATTATGGCGGCGCTGGTCACCTTATCAGCCGGCTCCAACGATCTTAATTCAAACAATGATACAAACAATGGTCATGGACCTCTGATGCATTTGACTGCCGAGACACAGTAATAACAATGTAATAACAATGGCCTTTCATCGATCGCCCCGTAATCCCACTGTCTGAATGGGTCTGACTGAAGCACCCCAGTGAATTCCTAATACTGTGTGCGATATTTGATTTGTATTGCTGAGGGAAACATTTTTACTAATTGACTTTAAGCTGGATTAATACACAAAAATTCCCCCATAAATGCACATTATTATAAATATATTCCATATTTGGAGCGTATATTGCGTAATATGACATTTTATAAAGTTCTGTTGGCAAGTGGTAAAGAGGGTTTGTAGGTAATGAGTGAATCTCAAAGAAGCCCGGAGTTAATTGCACTTGGCACTGCTTTTAAGAGAAGCTATATATAGGCAGGAAGACCGCTTGGCCAGTACAGTCGCCGTGAGCCTGGAACCTGTCCCAGAAATCACTGGGCATGAGGCAGGGGACACCCAGGATGGGATGCCAGCCCATCACGGACACAGATACCACCATCATCATCATCATCATCATCAACATCATCAGCAACAATAATAATAATATTAACAATAACTGTCTGAGGCATGATGGGAATAGGGGGAGGTATGGCTCAAAAGGTCACAGGTTCATATCCTGTGGTTGGCAGGGTGATGTCACCATTGGGCCCTTAAACCCCAATTTCTACAGCTGATCCTGCTTTCCCAAAGAAATGTCTGTCGCTTTGGATGAATGTGCCAGCTAAATAAGTAAAAATTTATGTGTAAGGGAATCTGACCTGCAAACCTGGTCAGGGTGCTGCTTTGCTGTGACGGGATTGCCGGAAGCTATTTTCTTGATCAATGCGCCTGAACGTAAAACGAACCAGAGACAAGTGTCACTGATTTTGATCCTCTCTGGATCGTCCCTCCTGCCACGATTCGGAGAACCGCAACGTGAGAAACGTGACTCACTATCACCGTTCTGGATCCACCATTTTGTTCCACACTTCTGTGCTTCCCATACTGTGGAGCTCGCACCATCTGGACAAACGTACCCCCCCCCCCCAGCCAGGCAGCGGACGTTTCGCGACTACCTGGAGTGTAACTGGGACGGACTGGCTCGGAGAACGTGCCAGAACACTGATCCTGAAATGATCCTGTAACGTGTCCAGGGAAGGTGTCGGCTAAGGCTCTCTCACACTGGATGTGACGATTGGCTCAGCTCAATTTGGACTTTCATCTTCATGAGGATTCAGCACGCCGGAGCTGATTCGCCAGTCTCGCCCCAGTTGTGGCAATTGTCTCCATGAAGCAGTGCTGCACCTTTGACCAAAAAAGGTTAGAAGCTCTTCATTTCCCAGCAGAAGAGTTACTGAATTGCTTAATAAAAATATCGCACTAGTGATTTGCACACTTGCCCATAGGTTTATGCTGAAAAACGTAAGTGTTTACCTCTTTCCCCATGGCGCTGACTATCCTACACCCAACCCTATGCAATCGGAACATCTCAATGCGATTGTCTTCTCTCTGGAAACACCACCTGGCAGTAAACTGCTAAAGCTCAGATTGGCGATGGGCAGCTTGGGGAACAAGCAGAACAAACCCATCCTAAACCCCAGCTGAACCCCAGCGAAACAGGTCAGGTCACACCAGAGCCTCAGATGTTCAAGTATTAGTTGTCATTCTGTTGCAGTCAAGCCAGAGTCGAGGGTCTGCAGCCCCAGGATCTTCTCTGTATCTTGTTCCCCAATCCAGTGTGACCTCCCCCCCACACACCCACCTGCCTAGCCCCCAGGACTCCTCTCCCATATGCATCACTTCCTCTGCCCCATCTCCAGAGCCCCATCTTAATGAATCCCTGTCATAGTCCTACACTCTCAGGTCAAAGGGCTCCTCCCCCTTTCTGACCAATGGCAGTCAGACGCTCAATTACCATTACAGCAGAAGATCAATCTTCCTGTTTAACTGCCTGTTTTTCTCTGAATTCTCTGACACATTAGGCATCGCTATGGACACTCTCTTCATGCTATTAACAACAAAGTCCCCAGGGTGCACCATGCTCTTCTTTTCATATACATCGCGGCTGCAAGTAGGCAAAGCTTGGCGCAAAAATATCTCTGAGACAGGTGATGCTCCACAGCCTCACGAGTTAGACCCGTGTTCTGAAAGGGCAGAGAGGCAGAATTGGAAATTTAAGCATTTTAAAACCAGCAAACTCATATGTTGATCCCACAACTGGATTTCCCAGCCCCAATCCTAAAATTAACCTATTAAGCGGGTCTTGTGTCTGCAAATCCTTAGTGCCAAACCAGTGAACACTCAACCAATCCAAGAAGCTAAACCACAGATGTTTGATTTAAAATTCACTGGCACCTCCAATGAGATTTGTGCGATAGGCATTGATTGGCGTAAATTGCAGACTGCACTGCATGTTTGATCATAGCGGTAATTTAAACCTATACTTGATATATGGTAAAGATTGTGTCGCGGTGCAAAAATGGTCGAAAACCATTAGTTAGACTAACCAATGGAAGGACGTCATAATGAATATGTACATTCTGTGCTACCCGAAGGCCCCGATCTAGATATTCCCCGTGAAAGCTCACAAAACGACGCGTCCTACCATCTCGCCACAGCAGGTGGCGAAAAGATATGGCTGAGAGCCAGACTGCTACTTACAAACAGGAAATAAGGCTCGATCCATGGGATCAAATGAAATATCAAGCAAGATCATATGACAAAAGCCGAGCAATAAAAGACTAATAAAACCCACTTTAAAAATACTGCAGTCGGTACCTCAGACACACACTCCTTTCCGACACGGTTTTGATGGGATTTGCCGTTTATCATGATGAAAAATCTCTTCTGTCATGCGTTTTCACAAGTCTTCCTGTACCAGAAACTGGATGTTTTTTTCGTAAAATAAAAGATAATCAAACATTAATACTGTGAGAAAAGAAATATAGACGAATGTGGACGTTGACTGAATACGTTAAACTAATTTCTCCAAACCTTATTCCCCTTCCCAGCTGGGAGGAGATGTCGTGTAGACATAGATGTAAATAATACATACAAAGCAGTCCAATTACATGTGACTCAACTTCTCATCAGAACACGGAACATGCATTGACACGCTTTGCAAAGGAACCGTGTTTTATTGCAACATTCACACGTCGTCAAGTCAACGTGGAGAACAGGGATGAAGGGGGGGGGGGGGGGGGTGTGAGGGAAGGATGCAGCCAGGCTGGAGTTTTTTTTTGACGAGCTTGAGGAGCCGAGGGCTCTCACCGCAACGGAATAACATCAGCGGTTATTTTTAGATCCGTCCTCTGCATCTGGCGTCAGCTGAGCGACGCGCTTTACAGGAACACCTAACACCTATAGAAGGAGAGCCGCTGCAATCTGAACAGCCCTGGGCTGTCTTACCATTCACTTATCCATCATCATCATCATCATCATCATCATTATTATTATTATTATTATTATTATTATCATCATCATCATCATACTCATCATCACCATTATTATTATTATTATTATTATTATTATTATACACCATACAGCCTGAAGTTTTGAGAAAGGCAATGTACACATTAGAAACGATTCCCCTTTTGGCATTTCCACTGTTCGTCAAATCTTAAAGCTGGAACTTGACCTCAAACTCCAGTTGCATAAAGATCAAACCTAAGTAGGCCTATGTACTTTGTAAAGACACGAGTGAGCAACAGTTAAGCATTTGGGCAGTTAGAGAGACAGACGCACGCATGAAACCCTAGACGCCCGTAAGATTACCCTCACCTACCTGAACTCAGGTGCCAAGTTCGGCTTCAAGCCGTAGAAGCCGGCGGACAAAGTCAGGAGCCAGTGGGGAATAAAATTCCCATTTTCGCACTCGAGGAAGGGAGCCGACCACTTTATCTGAGTTTTATCGAAGATGTAGCCGTCCCCTCTCGTGTGCGTTTCGGCTGATGGGTTCGCCTCTTTCCCCGTAACCCTCCTATGCGAATGTGGCTTCTTTTTGTCCCTGAACTCACTGAACCATTCCGACTCGGAGGTTTTGTTTTTTAGATAATGGTGGGACGTATTTGAAAGATCTTGGAGGACTATTTCACTATCCATCCTAGTGGCTTGGAGAAAGATATTGGGACTGGGTAAAGACGATTCTGTGCTGAATGTCACCACGGCACGGTGGATCTTTGGATCGCCCTCCAGCATACTCTGGACTAACGCGTGGTACCAGTGTATGTCTCGCCGGAGACTGTGCTCTCTCGACCTGTTCCCCTGTAGGATCATATTCAGGAAGTTGGCGGCGTGAGCCACCGTATCGAGCACACCGTGCAGGGAGTGATGGGGAGTGACGGGCGATGCACCGCGCAGGCTGCTCAGCTCGTATCTCCGGGAGCATGGGGCTTGCTTTAGCGTTGCCGAGTCTCCGGTGTGGAGAAACGCCGTCACGACCCTGGGCAGGTCCTCCTCGATCTTGTGGGCGAGGACGGGGCGCTCAGTCACCGGCTTGGAGAAATAAGTCGGGTGCTGCGGCGGATCCTTCTTGCTAACGTGGGTGCTTTGCACGGGATACTTCCCTCGGATTTCCGAGTCACTGTCTTGATCCGACCACTCCACGTACCCATAATTTGATCCGACAACAAATCCCATTTGCAACAGTAGGGAAATCAGAAAAACAGACATATCGCCAAGCCGTTTCCCCTCACAGGCTTAGATAAGACTCAGTTTACTCCAAGCAATAAAGTGTGAAAATGCATGAAATTGGCAGTCGGTATCCTCCAGCTACCTAATCGATTTTATTAAGTTGTTGCCTATTACGGTAGTATCAGCTATTGAAAATCCACGGACGACAGCCTCATCTCCTGCATGTCACATTCTTCTTCCTCTCCATCAGAGATCCCAGCCCCAGCTTACATGCATGTCCGACCGTCGCTGTTCTCATTCAGTCCATCTCCGTCTCCTCCACACTGCCAAGTCGACGGCGTCGTTTTTTCGGAGCTCCCCTGACACTGATATGTCTGGGTGTACGCAGGCTGAGCGGAAAGAGAAAAATATCCCCATCACTGGGTGCGCGTTGTCGTGACTCCAACACTTTCGTAAAAAAATATATAATAAATAAATAATAAAATGGTGAAAAAATAAATAAAAAATGAACGTACACACTCACACACCGCCCTCTTCTGTCTGTAACTGGGGGATACCAGAAACCACTTGCCCCTTAAATGCCGTCTACTTATCTTATGAGATTCCTGAAGTGTTCTCAAGTCATAAATGCTTATTTCTTCATTAAATCACCGCGCAATAACGTTTGGAAAAACGAGGAAGGAACTACCGTGTGCTGAATCAAAGCTTACTGAGAATGATTTTTTTTTTTTTTTTTACCGATGGGCGTTGCTTCGGGATGGCAAGATGTGCCGCTGGTTCTACCCCAAAGCGTTGGGTTCGAGTCTCCTGATAGGCGCCCCTGTTCCCATCGTGATCATCAGAGATTTCCTGCTACATCACAAATTCATTCTCGGCTATCATATTCCCTTTCGTGTGGGGTTGCACCCATGGACGCGCAGACAGAATCTGCATCACCATGATCCAAATTAGGTAACCAGTAACTGCAAATGGGAGATTAAAAAGCGTCGGATTTCGGAAAAATTATTAGATGGGGTAGTCTGTACTTTTATTTTATTATGAATATATTTCTTTTATGCTGTAATGATTGCCTATATAACACAAATGTATTTATGCAGAAAGAAAATGGTTAATTGGTGTGGTATCCATATGACGCCGATATTAGTCAGCAGTGAGGCGTGCAGGGGGACACAGGTAGGTGGTAGAAGAGCGTGGTTGATTGTCGTGTAACCCCCCTGCGTTCATCAGGTAAATCATTTATGTGAGATCGTAATTGTTCCACATCCAGGACCGCTGACTCACGCTCTGTTTGAATGGGCAGCGCGATGAAGGCGAAAAGTTACTTTTTCCTATAAGAACAGCGATAGCAGGGAACATCCAGAGTATTAACCCCCCCCCCCGTTCAAGGTGCTAGTGCTACCGACTGATAGTTTCACATATGCTGAATGCGCTTGAAGGGCGACATGGTGAAATGACTCAGGGTGGCAGGGATACTTATTTGACTCTGAGGTACAAGAACATAAGAAATTTACAGAGAGGAGGCTATTTGGCCCATCAAACTAATTTGGGGAGAATTCAATTCACAGCTCAGAGTTGTTAAAATTTTATCTCTAGCTCTGATTTAAAGGAACCCAAGGTTTTAGCTTGCACTACAGTAACAGGAAGACTATTCCATACTCTAACTACACGCTGTGTAAAGAAGTGCTTTCTCAAATCCAGTTTAAAATGTTCTCCTGCTTATTTGCACCTATGGCCACGAGTTCCAGTATTTTAAATAATATTAAAGTAACTATTTGGCTGAACAGCATCCAGACCCGTTAGAATCTTATAGACCTAGATCATGTCCCCCCTTAGTCTCCTTTGCTCGAGGCTGAACAGATTCAGCTCAGCTAACCTCTCCTCATAAGACATTCCTCTAAGACCAGGAATCATTCTTGTGACTAAACCTGCACAATATTTTAGGTGGGGTCCTACCAATATATAATCTTAGCATCACCTCCCTTGAGTTAAACTCCACACACCTAGAGACGTAACAACATTTTATGCTACTTCCTTTCGCGCTAAACCTGTGTGTAAGATATAATCCCCATCATATTTCATGTGAGCATGTATAAATAAGCCCATGTAGGCAGCTGTAATATTATTTTACTGCTGAGAACCTGCACATGTTTCTGTAAGGAAGGTTCTATGTCATGTTGTCAAAGGAAGTAATCACACCTTTTTGGAACGGATACTCTGCAGCATCTGTATAATAACAGGGCAGGAGACATGTTAAGGGGCAATGCAATATGAATATTTAATAAAGGGATCCTTTATGTTTGACCTGAGGACATCAGGAAAATTCCTAGTACCTATGCACACAGCAAAGGGATGAGTAGGGAGGTATATGTACAGAAATTTGTGGAGTTTTGCTTATTGTAATAGATTACTGATATGTATCAGCGCCAGGCAATCCTATTGGGCGCCAACTTCTGAAAGGGTCCTGACTTGCCAGTCAATTTCACTTTGCCTCAGACAGGGGGCATTAGCAGTGATGCTCACATAGGGCACCACATCAGCAAGGACTGATATATTTTAATATAATATGTGTGGGAACCTTTGTGTTTAGATAGATGGTCCGTCTTCATGGATGGACTCATCGCCAGGATCAGCGTTTAAGGTGAAGATGCTCAGCTGCTCCGATTGCCACCCTGAGTCCTCTCTGATCATCAGGTATCCATTCACACACACTCGCCTGGACGCACTTCCTCCATGACCTGGTCAGGAACACGCACACATACACACACGCGCACACACGCGCACACACGCGCACACACACCGCTGCACACTTTCTGGAGCCCAAAAACAGAGCGATCAAGAACAACTGACAGTCGTTGACAACTACGATTGATGGGATGGCTGCACTACACCACAACAAAGCTTGGAAACAAATGTCGCTTTGAGCTCCCCCCCCCAGCTGACAGCCCGCTCTGAGGCTGCTCTGCTCTGACAGTTTAATTAGTTTCCCTGCAGTGCTGAAATATAAGGCAGTGTCCAGCCAAGATGTTTTTTTTTCTGCTCCTGTGTTGGCAAACTGTTTAAATGTCACTATACTGGAGCAGTTACACCGATTTCATTAAAATGTGGGCCAGGGCAGCGTCCGTCGAGCTGTCAGAAAACGAGGGCTGTGACTCCTGTTTCCTTTGAGCTGAGCTTGCAGGAGGTCCAATCGTATATTTAACTTGAAGTCTCAAAATCGGCGGACTTGTGCCGGGGCTAACAAAAGATTTACGGGAGCTTTAAGCCTATTGTTTGCTTTAGATTCTGATAACATAAAAAGTATAACTAATATATTATTTGAATGAACACTTCAAACGCACAGTTCTGTAAGATTTATTTGATCGCTGATTTGACAGCGAACCTCTTACATAATGTATGGTTCATGTTTAACAGCCCATAATGCTGGAAATCACACAACACTGTGCATAGCAGGGGCTGACAACTACATCAATGCCATAAACAAGTCTGATCTGAAATGTATTTTATAAACCAAGAACAATTCTTCAGACATGCGCAGATTTCAATCTACTTGGATAATTGATTTGTTTCCTGAACCAATTGCATTAACCAACTGACCTGTTAGAGTAAAATACTCAAACCCCAGTCTAATGTAATGGCAGCATGTCCACCGTTAGCTGTAAAGCAGTAATGGCCCGACCCTCCATATACTTGCACTGCGATATCACCAGTACATATTTGTGAGTTCATGAACGCATGCAAAAACAGCCACTGTACCATCTGCAGTTCATACCTGATAAGCCATCTGAAGCAAAGTGGGTTTGGGCCAGGATAATACATGGATGGGAGACCAACTAGGAAGGCTGGGTTGCTGCTGGAAGAGATGTTGGTGTGCCCAACAAGTTAGCTCATCCTGGGGTCAGTGTGAACCCCAATGCTCCAGTGCAGTAATGGGTATACTGTGTATGAAGAATGGTGCTGTACTTTGAATGAGAACCTGAGGTTCTGACCCTGGGCAGCTTTTGAAAGAGTAGGGGCAGTACCCTCATGCCATTGGCCAAAACTGCCCACTGTGGCCCTATCAGATCTGGCCTCCTAATCACCCCCTATATCTAACTGGTGAATTCTCTCCTGCCCCTTCACCACCTTAGCTATGGTGTGGTGAGCATACTGGTGCAGAATGGCTGCTGTCACATCATCCATGTGGGGGCTACACAGTGGTGGTGGTTGAAGTGGCTCCCCATTGGTTCTGTGAAGTGCTATATATAATGTATCACTCATTCAAAACAATGCTGTACGCCCGTTGTGTCAAATACTACTCCCCCTAGTGGTCACGTTTGGATTTCAGCGATGCGGCTTTTCAGCGCTTTCTGGCGGCGTTACGCCCCTCCTACCCTGCGAATCCTCCTATCCTGACTCGCTGGGAATCGCGGGGTCCCAACATGGCAGACGGAGGTGCTTCGCAACTTGTGGGAAAAAGCGGAGGCATCGTGGTAAACTGCTTTCGATTTGATGCCAATATTGCAGAACGTGCGGTGAAGATGCCAATAACCGGAGCGTGGTGATTATAATGCGAATTATTGCTAAAATCCGATGTTTTGCGTAGCAGGACGATGTTTTTCTCTAAATTGTTTCACAACTAATGGCATTCTGGAAAAGTGAAACGCATTAGTGATACGCATATAAGGAGATGCACTGAAGCAACATTTAGAGTAAAACGCTTACATCACCAGGAATCGTATAATCAAAATGCCGAAATAAAATGTAAAACCCAGTAACAGTACTTCGGGCTGTCATTTAAAACTTTCTACATGTATAACATGAGCCAGCGTACCAGCTACCCACGTAAGACTTTACTATCATCATACAACGTTAATTTACAAGAGGGCAAAAATAAATTAAATAAATGAATTTACAACCGAACTTAAATGAAATCTATAAAATAATTTCAGGAAGACACGTGGAAAAATAGATATAATTATCCTGTTACATTTTCAGTATAGCAACATTACTGGCAATCTGCTGATTCTTTCTAGATCCCAGATGACTGGCCAGGTTATCCTCTGCAGCTGTTCTCCTATCCAGAGCATTACTCTCCTGAGGATCTGGAATGCGTCTACATTCCTCACGGCATCATCATGGACAGGTACCCCCCCCCCCCCGACCTCTGACATAACTGATCATTTGTTTTGTTATTTTATACACAGCAATAGAAATATTTGAACAGAAAAATTAATTAACTTAGGATTCTCTTAATGTGAATACCCAGAAACCTTCTTTGGATAATTATGGGAAACGGCAAAATGGGGTAAAATGTTCTTAGTGGGTTATTATTAAGCTGTAAAATCTGAGCACTGTCAGGTTAAGCATACATGGTCATGGACACACTGTGTGCAGGATTGAGCGTCTGGCATGCACCATAATGGACGACCTGGGTGACCATGACATCGTACTGCTCTGCGTCCTCAAGGGAGGCTACCAGTTCTGCTCGGACCTGGTGGAGTTCATCAAGGCCCTGAACCGCACCTCTGAGAAATCCCTGCCTATGAGGGTGGCTTTCATCCGTCTGCACAGCTACCTGGTGAGGACAAACACACACATACACACACACACATACGCAGACATACACACACAAACACGTACAAACCCACATCTTTGGGCAAAATCCTAATATATACATGACCACACACACACACACCTATACAGTTTGCCAAAACTTTTTTTTTTGTGGACATAAAAACATTTACTGCGGGAAGAACACAAGGTGAGCTGCACAGGGATGTTTATGTGTGCCTTTGTGTCAAATCAGTAGCGTTTATCTGGAAATAAGTTTGTTCTGCAATCTCTCTGGGGTTATATTTCAAAACTACACCAATAATTTGAGCCTGACATTTTAGGAGATTATGCTTTGTCAGATCATACTTTGTTGAAGTTTACTTTTTCATGTTCTGCTCGAATATCTCCCAACCTGGTGTTACACCTCGAGGCAAGGACCAGATACCTTTCAAATCAAGATCACCAAATAAACTTGGGTCTTTTATTAAGCTGCGCTTTTTATAAATGGCTCTCCTTTTTCCTGATTAAGTACGTTGGTGACTCTTCATGTCATTGTAAATAGAGGTTGGATACTGTTTAATAATGGTATTGCAATTCCTCTTTAGGGCTAAGAATGCTGTTCTGACTGCGTGTTTGAACATGTGAACAGGAGCAGGAAAAGAACCAGGCACAATAAAAATTGGCTCTTGTCAACTTCTCCCGCCGTCGTCTGAGTGAATTTCAGGCTTGCCGGTTCCCATGCCTTCCATATTGGCTGCTAACCAGCTCTGCTGTAACGTGAGGTTACCACACGCTTTAGGCTAATGAGACACAGCCAGGGCCCCAGATCCTCCCCCCTGCTCCTGAGTGGGTCGTGTCCCCTGCGGCATGTTACCTACAGGGCTGTCGTTTTGTTGCTACATCTTCTGCTTTAGCTTAAGGGTGCATTTCTGATTTCTGTCAGCAGGGGGCGACATTGGTACAGCAGAAGGGAGCCAGGCCTAACGGGTATTCCCTTAGTATTACACAGGTACCTGCCAATCGCTGATGAGCTGTCTGCAGGTTCTGTTTCTACCTGTCGGAGCGAACGCAGGCCTGAGGAAACGTGTCGCTCCGATGTTTGGTCGAGCGCTTGGTGCAGGGCGCGGCTGGAATGAGGGTACGAGTAGCTTGTTTGGTTGTTTCCCAGGAAGCGAAAGACTTTGTTGATCTTGTTAGTCTGTTTTCTGGTGAGGCTTTATTATGCAAATTACATGATTGAGGTCTAATGTAGGCAAATCAGTTCTGATTCATTCCCCCGAGGAACAAAAAAAATACTGAACACATAATTGTAAGTGACCCTGAGCAAGATGAGTGGATGGATGGACGGACGGACGGATGGATGGATACATTGGTGTTTTTGTGAAGTTCTGCTTGAATGTTCCCACATGCAGAGCAAGAGTCATCCTTTGTCTTTGACTCATGCATTTACGACTGCTTGAGTGGTTGGGAAAAACCATTTTGAAAGTGAATCACCTTCATTATATTTTTGTGATGTGGCGGTCACAAGGTCGCCACACTGTCAGGCGCTGGAAGGTCATGTGACGATGGGGGAGAGGCGTGGGAGTCATGTGACTGCCTGTAGGGCATCTTGAACGGTATGAGGATTAGAGAGAGGTCCCCCATCTACCTGCCTCTGAAGTATATTCCGTAATGTGAGCACAAGACGGTCATTGTGGAGAATGTGGCGGCCCTAAGGAATGTGGAACACCCATACTGGGTGGCTCCAACGAACAGAGACACACTCATATGCTTTCAGCTACGTGGAATGGAGCCTGGTAAGGTGATGTGAGCATCATAGTATGACTTCTTCTCCTGTTTCAGAACGACCAGTCCACAGAGGACCTTCAAATAGTGGGAGCAGAAGACCTTTCTACGTTACGCGGGAAGGTACGTCCTCACCCACGCAGACAGCCGAGAGATGCTTCACTGGGACGCCTCACACCTGCTCTAGGGTACAACAGCCGGTCCTGGCTGCAGCGATTCTAAATCCAGGGACCTCTTTCTGTACCCTGGGTGGGCAAAGCCTGAAATCTCAATATTCAGCAAGGAACAGTTCCGTGGTGTGACTTAGTATTTGTCCCTGTTTTTATTTTCTTTCTTTTTTTATTAGACCATTGTTCTGCCTCAATCAGGTCATGTACTACTGGCCTAAATAGCAAAAAATGCCTTAAAATGAAATTAATTAAATTTGAAAAGCCGAAGAAGGTTTTCTTATAAACAAGAAGATTAACAGTGGCTGAAGGAAAGAGTTGGTGCGATGGGAGAGTTTTTCAGTGAAGCTGAAGCTGAAGATTCACGTGTTCAAAGAAGCCACAGGCCAGAAATAGTCTTCTCCCCAGCTGTGTTTTCATACAAATGTCGACATTTGCAGCAGGGCCTGTGTGTTAATTATCCTGAAGCACAATTGAAGTTTTGTTCCTGTTGGATTTCCTATGACCACCAGAGGGCAGTTTTTCATGCAATGCCTGATCCAAGCACAGATTACACTCCGTGGCACTTCATTACTGCAGGGTAGGATTTGCTTTGGCCTGGAGAAGTGTTTCCCAACCCATTATTCGGGGACCCCCCCAACAATCCACATTTTTGCTCCATCCCAGATCCCAGCCAATCAAGGACACCGAATACCCAGTACAGGCTATCGGGAGCAAAAATGTGCTGTCTAAGGGTCCCAAGGTTGGTAGACACTGGCCAAGAGAATTGAATTTTTCAAGGCATGGATGGCTTTAGCGTGTGTGGTCATTCACCTTCGACCACCCCGATTAACAAGATGTTTTTGCCCACCAAAATGACACTGACTGGATCTTTTTGTTTATGACACCGTCCTCTGTAGACATGATCCCAGCAAAGTGTTTCTGAGGTTTTTTTCTGAGCTGTTGCCACCAAGAATCATCATACATGCAGAAGCTCGTAGGTCATGCATATCGCCTGTTCTGAGGTTTTGTTGACAGTAATTGAATCTATCCACCCCACCTGTGTGCTGTATGTATCGAGTCAGCCACCTGATTCTCTGTTTGTAGGAACAGGTTGTTGGCATTAACAAGCAGGTTTATCTGAGTGTAAATCTAATCAGTAATTAGTGGCACTTTGCACCAGGATCTATTGAATGAAATCCTGCCCTAAACTTTGCCATTTATTTCCAAGTCTGATGATTGGGCTGCTGAAGGTTGACAACGATGAGGTCAGTGGTCATGGGGCAGGGATAGGGAATGCCACCGGCGTGACACCTCAACGTCCCTAAATGGGACTCGCTAGGAGTCAGAGATTCAGGAGTCACTGCTTTTGCCACCATGTCTGTTAAGCACCGAGGGAGGGAGGCGTGGGGGTAAGATAACAGAATGAGCATGGGGGTGGGGGTGTCGCAGCAGGGAGGTGAGAGTGACTCAGGGATTTAAGTCCGTTCAGAGGCTTGGCTGAGTAAACCTCAGTCGCCTGTAACTGCATGTTCTGAACTATCGGCGTGTTTGTAATTTACTTTTCGGCTGAGTGAGTCATTGTTAACAGTCACAGTGCCTTGTGGCTTTGAATCACTGCACAGGATTTCAGGCCATCGGGGACCTACCCAGACCGTGCCTAGAAATGTCACCGTGGGCATCCGCCCAGTTTGGGCGCCCTGAGTCTGCTAGGGTATCCGTGCCCTTCTGACGCCCCTGGTCCTACCAGTGGCCTGATACTGCTGGAGTGAAGAACATACCTTTACTCTCATTCCATGTAAAACCTGGGAGGTCATAGGTTCGAATCCCCTTTGGAAACCTGCAGTCTTGTGCAGGCGGTCTTAATGGTGGTCTGGGTGGGATCCCTGCAGATGTTTTGGAAGGTCCTGTGTTCTGTTCCTCGGCCGTCGTACGATTAGATGTTGCATCTCTGTTATGTTGACTATCAGCAGATAAACAACAAAGTCAGTCCTCCATGCAGGGATTTCACTGCACATTCTCTGCTTTAAATCCTCCTCACCTGACATTTTACACTCCAAAGTCAAGTCAGGGGTAGGAAAGACACTCCAAAGCCAAGATATAGATATAGGGGAAAACAAAGTATGTTAAACTTTGATGATATATGCGTCTTGCACTTCAGCAGACGCCTGTGAGTCATTTTGATACCCTAGTTTCATTATCACGACACACTTCGCAGTGAGGCATGACGTCATGGTGAGGAATGGAACCTTACAGGCAGATGGCTGGTCCTTATGCACCGGGACTCACCAGCAGGTGTCCCAGTTGCAGTGGACCACCAGTGGCTGGCAGATTCAATTTATGAGAAGGTGTCTGAACACTGTGGTGCACTATTAAGGCCTGCTAAGCACCAATGCGGAACACAGAGCAGTGGGCGTACCAGGGCGGGTTTGTTGATTCTGGGGGCCCACTCAAAAAGTCACTTTGGGGCCCCCTCTCTCCCCCCATCCAGATGTTTAAAATAAACTAAATAAATAGCCAGTGAGTAGAGCTGGAAGACTGTGGCTAGCAAGGTGGTAAGCAGAACATGCTGTGAAAGCATCTCCTAAATAAATATGTTTATGTAACATTTAGTGTAGTGGCTATTTGCGACCAACAGGGGGCTCCACACAAATGCATGGTTTAAGTGGTGGTAAACACCCCCACTCTGTGTGTATGTGTATATGTGCGTGAGGGAGAGCAGGAGGGACAGAGGGAACCTATGAGTGGGGCTCCAGCCAGCCACCAGCTAAATGTAGCGATGATGAGAATGAACCCAAGCCACGTGACCCCAGGTCTGGGAGACACTTGTCTTTGCAGCGTGATGAACCTGGACGAGTTGCAGCTTCATTCCTAATCAGTGTGACTTTTCCCTCCTGTTTTCACATGCGATGAAGAACATCCTCATCGTGGAGGTGAGTCAGCGGTATCGCTCCCACACGTCTGTGCCAAGTCATGCTTCTTTGCTTAAATGCGGCAGAATGCGGCGGCTTTAACCACTAAAAAGAAAGCCCATTTCTCCTTAGCCGTGTTTGTCTGAAAAAAGAAGTCAGTATGTTAAGCATTTTTAACCGTGCTCAATAATTAAGGATAATTACTCCGCTGACTTTTAATACATTGTCTGTCACTTTGATTCACATGACTGCAAGTTAATTGAGGAGAAGATTAGAAGTACGTCAACAGTTTTAATTGTATTCTTGATAAGATGGAGCCATTGGTGCAGACAGATGGCAAGAAATATACTCTCATTGTAGGTGTTTTAGAAAACGTATTTGTTAGGTGCCTCTGAAATTCTGGAGTGACTACAGAGACGTGTCATTCTTCAGTATGGTCTGTGTTCTTCTGTCTTTAACCAAAATAGTGGCAAAAGTCCATTGATTATCTGGATGCTATTTAGATGTTTTCGTTGGGCCAGACCCAGTTTCAGGTCTTTGCTGCTGTCTGACAGGGTATAGTTGACACAGGCAAGACCATGAAGGCTCTCATGAAGCACATTGAGGTTTTCCAGCCCAAGATGGTGAAGGTGACTGGGTGAGTCAGGCTCCCTGTTCCCCATGGCACCACCTCAGGTCCAACCAGCAGGTGTAGAGATGGGCACCAGGATGGCGCTGACCCCCGCTATGTTTCTCTTTCCTGTTCCAGTTTGCTGGTGAAGAGGATCCCCAGCGGAATGGAGACCCTCCCTGACTGTATGTGCCCGCCCCTTCCACCTCTGCAGCCAATCACAGCTCACAACCAGTAGTTGCCCCATAGTAGGCATGGGCGGTACTTCATTTTTCATACCCTCGTGCCGTCCAGACACTATGCTGCAGTACAGGGTGTTTTGATGGTATTTTCAAAAGCAACATTGTTCCGGAATTCTGAAATCTTAACGAAAAAAATGGCGTACCAGCTGTGGTAAGCCATGTTTCCTTAATTCTGCTCAAGCTTAACCTAGAGGCTGTAAAAAGTATATCAAACTTCAGGAAACTCTTCAGGAAAGTGCCCGGCCGATATGATTGGCTCTGTAGTATTATTGTTGCGCTTCACATCATTAACACCATGGTGCTGGTCCATGATACTGCGATCTGTTGCTTGTTTGTACCTTGTCAGCATGGTGTGTTAACTCTTATTCGCTCTGGAAACCACTGGTATTTTTCTTTCTCCATGTGCTGTGAGATGTTGGATTCGAGATCCCTAACCGCTTCGTGGTTGGCTACGCGCTGGACTACAACGAGTATTTCCGGGACCTCAGTGTAAGTTTCCCGACTCATTGTCAGTGAAGTGAGGGGTATCTTTGAGCAGCTTGAAAACAAAGGCTGCGCTGTGTCCATGCAGCTACGGAGCTGCACGCCCTCATTTACGCCCTTTGTCTGAAGTTGCGTCATTCAGGCCTGCATTACACACAATTAATGCACAGGGAGCAATCGACCGTCAGCCACAGTTCCTCACCGCCGTGTCTGTTGCAGTTCAGAACAGCAGCCATGGCTGCATCTACCTTTTCAGGGGCCCCAGGCAAAGCTTTAGGCCCCCCTACCAAGAAAACTGATAGGGTGTGTCCGAATTTTAGGGCGTAGGGTGTTCACACTGACAACTAAGCCAAAATTCAGTGCACTGAAAGTACCCGGATGGTGCACTGAAAACGGCCAGAAAACGCAGTGCAGAATGATGGACACTACTCGCACTAAACGGACGCCATTTTGACTACGTAGCGGAAGGGGAGGGATTTTCGGCAAGTTTTCATTGTTAAATTAAGGCGGACAATAACACAGACACGTAAGCCCAAGCGGAGGCAACTGCTTCATATAAATCTAAGTAACGTTAATAAAATTCTTTTACTGATGTATACTGCGGTGTGTAGCATGTCACTATCTGATGACAGTTATAGATAATTTGAGTTTGCGATTATATCGACATAAAAGAGTTTGCACACATAAATGTTAGCAGTTTTTTAGCCGGTTAGACGGTAGCAGATAGGTTATATACACGCAAATAAAACCACAAGGAAATTCATTGTAAACAAAACACGGCAGATATTTTGGCGCGCTAGAGAATCGCGATCAAATGCTAGTCCGTCACTTCCGGTAAGTGCAAAACGTTAGTGTTCAATTTAGGACAGCACTTACCCATGGTAGTGTGCTCTACAGAAGGAAGTGCGCACTGCGCACTACGCACTACATCTCAGTGCACTGAGGTAAGTTGTCACTACCGAAAATGTTACACCTACCGAAAATGTAACTTCCGCTACTACGCATGCGCACGCTAGCGACTTCTGGAAGGAGGCGTTCTATTTTTACGGCATCGCGTCACATTTCATCGTCTGTTGATTTTTGATAAGAATGTCGACAGCGAGAAGAAAGACAAGATTTAACCGGATAATGATGGAGTCCTTCGACTTTAAAAGATTTTATTCCGCATAGGCCTTTAATGCCCAACGTGCTTCAGAAGGAGCAACGTAAAATACAGGGTATGGCCATCAATTTTACAGTCAAAGGTGACATTACTTTAATGTTACCATTATGTACTACTCCCAGTTCGATGTGCTGTGAAGTTACTTAAACTAAGTCTGCTTTTTTTCTCCTTAGTCATTTCATTTCTTAATTGTATCAGTGTAATTACCACACACTCGTGTCAGTTATGGCAGTGTCTTGTGGTGCTAAATAAAGCTAATTATATTTGTTTCTGACAGACGACGGATTGTTTTTTCTTGGGCCAAACCGCACAACATAAACATTGTTTATGTTGTGCAAATAAAAGTTCTTAACTATTATTTTGGTGTGACTTTTTTTTTTTAGAAAATGCTGTACATATATCACAGCCCCTTGATAAGCAATATGGGTACACAAGATTGATATACACCCCAATTTTATTACGTTTTCTAAAGAAAAGGCATCTATTCAGCAATACCCTTGGGAAAAACCTTATGTAAGATTACTGTCAGGCACTACAAACAACGCGCACACAGATGCAAATATTACAATCGGCAAAGCAATATGGTTTAAATACCACACTAAAGTGACGGCTGAACTACAAATATAAACATCAATGACCCATTTCACAGTACGTGACCAATGAATGATGATACACGATGTCCAAGCCCTGAATCACGCAATCACGGTCTGCCGCAAAATGTGAATACATGCGCAGTATCGGGCCTGTGGAAGTGTACATTACGCATGCGTAATAAAGAAGTGCCAGAAAATGTGGTTTCGTGGACGCATGCGTGATGAATGTGCGCATGCGTAGTAGCGGAAGTTACATTTTCGGTAGGTGTAACATTTTCGGTAGTGACATAAGTGCGCGATTTCGGACACACCCATAATCTTTTCACATAATTCAGGGCCCTGGGCAACTGCCTATTCTGTCTTTAGCTACAGCCGGCTGTGTTTCTGCCTGCGCATAAATATTTTAATTAACGTTTTTAATGATTTTTCATTTTGTGTAATTATTCCTATTTAGAAATTACAGCCTCTCCCTAGGTTATGATGGGGTTACGTTCTGACAAACCTATCCTAAGGCGAAAATATCGTAACACAAAAATGCATTTTAATACAGCACACCTAAGCTAACAAACATCATAGCCTGGCCTAGCCTACCTTAAAAATGCTTAGACCAACATTTACGTTAGCCTACAGTTAGGCGAGATCATTAACACAAAGCTTAATTTATAAACAAATGTTAATGTAAAATTAATGTCAGTGTAAATTACATATCTCATGTAATTTATTGAATAATGTGCTGAAAGTGAAAAACATTTACCCATCGTAAAATCTAAATATCGTAATAGATGCACCATCATACCCCGGGGAGCGTCTGTATAAGTATATGAATGCTATACTGCCTAGTTCACCTTTCCCTAGATCCGGCCCTGAAAGCAACTTTGAAAAATATATTTTTAAAAAGCAGGACACGTGTGCGAAGTGAGCTCCCACTGAAATTTGATTTACTTGTCGATCGGTGCTTCTGAACCGCAGATTTTGACCAGCTGTACCCCTTTGCTTTCAGCACATATGCGTAATCAGTGACACTGGAAAGAAAAAATACAAGATCTGAATCTCGTGCCTTCCCAGAAGCCCTCGTCAACAATTCCACTGTTACGACTAACCGCCTGTACCTGTGCGCTGCTACTCCACGTCCTGTGCTTTCTACGCTCCACGCGAGGCCGCCGGGAACCACAGGAGGATTTGGCTGTTGCCGGCAGGGATGATACGTACGCAGCCATTTACAGTTAACGCAAATGTACAACTTATCTGCACACTTTTGGCTGATTGCGTCCAGCTTTAGGAGGCAAACTTTAACGAATGCCATGGACTGGTTATGTTTTTAGTGATGTTTTAAATATGTCTTACATTTGGTTTTTAGTTTTGTTACATTCCAGAATTTTCTGAGCCTTGGTTATTCTCTTGTGGTCTGTCTTTGCAGGAACATTTTCTAACACAAACTGTTTAATACTAAGATAAGTTAAGATGGACTTTATCTTTTCTTTTGCATACAGCAGCAAGTTAGGTAAAGAGCAGGAAATCATGCAGTGCAAAATACGACAAAGTGCAAATAATGTAGACAAGTAAATGTAGTTCAAATAGGTTAAAGCACACAATATACAATAACAATAATAGTAATAGTACTACTAATAATAAATTGCTGTATGTAAAAGCTAATTTAAAAAGTTTCAATCATGTATGAATGTCTTAACGGAAAACCACATGAACAGCTCAGAATATTTTGTACACTTTTTAATATAATTTTTTAGGTAGATGATATCACGGGTTTCATTTTCTACACCCTGACAAAGGGGGTTTTCATGCAGTTCGGCGCTGATGCTGGTGAAGCTGACTTTTCTTTGAATCGGGGGGGGAAAGAAGCCCTCCGTCGCAAACGGTCTCTCACTGTGCCAAAGCTTAATAACCTAGCTAGGTTACTGTGATGGGGGTTATACACTATTTTATTTTACTTGCTTATAATGTTCAGGCTGCTAGACATCTAAATGCTTTGGTTTTTCTGTGCTACAATGACATGTTAGGGCTAATAAACATAGCTGTGTGTTTTTTTTTTTTTAAATCCCGTTGTGTTTGTGCTGGTTATTCAGAATTTCAGCCGTGTGCTAACGGGCGAGAAGGTGTGTCGCCCCGGATGATGTCATCTCTGCGTAAACGTAAAGGAGACGGGCGCGGCATCACGTCACCTTGGCTGCCGCGGGACTCGGATAGGCAGCGGTCGCGGTGGCCGGTTCAGTTTACTCCCTTTGCGTTTCCTTCCAGCCAGACGTCACACGTCGCTCTCCAGTGTGCCGCCGAGCTTCTGCCTGCCAGGCACATTCCATGCATACAAGCCGCCTGCTCAGGGAGAAAATGCCGCCGTTTGTGTGCTTTTCAGGGGCAGTTGGATTTTCTGCTTGCCTGGACTTTACCTAATGCTGGCATTGTGACCTTTGACCTTACGGGCTATTAGAAAGGCGAATGTCTTGAAATTAAAGGTCAGGTAGAATTCTTTTAAAATCCCTGCTCCTTAGATGGTTTCAGTGACACACATTCCTTATCAGAATATTTATTGCCAAGCTGATGAGTTATTTCTGTGGGGGATGCTAGAAATAGCCCGTAGTTTTAGATATAATTAACTTCCAGGACACTACCAGTACGACAAGACTTGATACGTGGCACATCTATGCACGTGGAAAGAAAGGTGTTAGGGGACTCTCATATCCTGAATTTGGAGGTGTCTGTTTTTAGTCTCTGGTAAACGATGGATTGAAACAATGGAAGGAGTGCTCATCATGAAGGTTTATCAATCGGAAATTCTTCAATTAAATATTTGAGGTTAACAAATGACAATCTTGCCATTCCCTTTGGGAGGGTAATCATTCTCTTAAGGATTTTGCCAGAATTCTTGGCTGGCTCTCGTTGTGGTCCCAGGGCGGCTTTCAGATCTCTCCCGCCAGATTGCGAAGAGGTGACGCTTTTGCGAATCCTTCGCAAGCTCTTGCGGGTGTGAATCCGGGGCAGCGGGAGGCAAAAAAAAACGAGGATGTAAGAAGATAATACATTGTACTATTTTACAATAGTGATTTCCCCCCCCCCCCAAAGAAGTAAGAAAATGTATTTTAAAATGACAGTAAAATTTTAGTGATGAGTTATTTCAAAGTTACTTGTTTTATAATTTAATCTCAAAAATAATAAAGACTGGGATAGCAGCTTTTCAAATGGTGCAAATAAAAACTCAAGACAACACATGTAACGTTTAACAATAAGTACATGATGCAGAATAGTCCATAAGCATGTGCAGGGTACAAATGGATAGGCCGTATACAGTGGTGCTGTGCAGAGGGGTTGAGAAGCCTGTTCCTAACCCTGGCATTGTGCGCCATCCAGTACCTTCCACTGGATGGCGCACAAATGGTGTCCGGGGTGTGATGGGCCACTTAGGATGGCTGTGGTTCTGCGACAAGGAGAGTTATGGATGTCTTACGGGGAAGGTAGCATAGTGCTGGCAACGATGATTCGCTACAGAGCAATTCTGTCTATCGCAGTGCGGCCACCAAGTCGGGTGTTGACATTATAGGTTAAGATGCTTTCAATAGATAAACAGCATGAAAAAAAAATACTAGAAGCTGCTGGTCCAAGCTGATTTCCGTAGTGTGCACAGGACGTACAGCTTCTGCTGCGCTTTCCTGATCAGTGTTGCGGTGTCGTTGGGCCATGAGAGGTCTTCGGTGAAGTTTGAAGCTGGAGTTCCTCTCCATTGCAGCGCCGCTGATATGGATGCGAGCGAGGCGCATCTTCTCCTCAAGTCGACAATGAGTTTTTTTTTTGGTCTTGTCCTTGAGAACTCATTAACTCTACCTCTATGGACTGACTGCCTCTGGTGTGAATCACGGCTGAAGTCTTCGCTTGAGCCTGACAGGCTGGGGCTTCAGTGAAACTCAGTTACACTAGTCTTCCCAAATACTTAAGCAACGTCAGCTTGTATCAGAGGCTCACGGGAGCCATTCTGTGCGTGACGGGTATTTCAGCGAATGAAAAGAGCACTGCAGAAGTCATCGGCCACACACCGCGGTATTGGTTAGCTTTTCAGATGACAGCCGCCGTACGTCTCATGGCTGTTTACGTCTTGCAATGCATGGCGTTTCTTACAAATGAAAACTAGCGAAGTAAACTCAAAAAGATGAATCAGACCCAAGGATAATCTGGACGATTAGTTCTGTGATTTAATACTATTACAATTTACACATCTCAAGGGAATTCACCAGAGATTGGCTCTGAATGGTGTATTGTCACTCAGGTGTGTTTTTATACATGGATCTGAGGTATTAAATGAATTGTTTTATGTTTATGATTAAGCCTTGGCCTGCAGCAGGGGCTGGAAAACGTGCAAAAAAAGCAGCAGTGAATGTCCTTGTACTAAACCCTGAATAAACTCTTTCCCAGCTTCCGCGGCTGGCGTGTCCCGGTCCCACCTCTCGGGAGGTTCACGCTCACATGCGCCAGAAAACTTCACCTGTGCTTTAAGGTGATGGTCACAAAGTCCCAGGGGCAGATCTTCCAAAAAAAGGCCTTGTCGCCATATGAGGAACAGGTCACTGCCTCGTATTTTGACCGCTATAGCCGGAGAGGTCACAGAAGGGACGATTCCTCATTCCTCCGAATCAGGCCAGATTCAGACGTAGGCTAATGTGAGCACCAGCTTCAACTAGGAACTGCAGTGGGGGCTGGAGAGGAAAACGGCCGAAAGAGAAACTGACAAGGCCTGAAAGTATTGTCTGGGGCCCTTTACCACGACGATCTGGTAACAATGGCTCTGGAATCTGAACAACAGGTGGCTCTCGAGTTGGGAGGAGGTGGGGGACGGGGGGGGACGGGTGACAGGGGGGTAGGGAAGAAAGGCCTATTTGTCTGGCTTGAAAATAGACCTCATATACTGTAAATGTCTTTCTTTTCAGGTCTAAAGCGAGCGCAAACACGGCTTCAGAAAGACCTCAAACCAAAGGCGAGGAACAAACTCCCACTGTTTCCAGATTTAAACGTGAAGTTTCGGTTCTCTGTGGAAACAGGAGTTACTGTCGCCAGGCTGTAACGCAGCAAGGAAGCACGCTGCATTAAGTGCGAGAAACGCCACTGAAAAGTGCAGAGTTTACTGAAAAGATTTGCATTTAAGACTTTTTTCCTGGACTTGCTGAAAGCTCAAGGATTTATTGTGGTTAACTGATTATTTTTTAAAAGGCAGAAACATTTATTAAAACAAACTATGATGCAGAAATATGTTCTGAATCTGCCACGATCCGGTTGGTGATAAAATCTGAGGGTAATCTTCCCATTATGGTTCATTAAATAACATTCTGAAGTTTAATGGCCGTAAATATGCTATTTTACTCAATTAATCCCAGTGGAAGAATACCAGCATGTGTTCAGTGTTAAAGAGGAAGAGAGAACAGTTCGTAAGTGAAGGCTGACCGGTGGCTGATGCTCCAGCTCCTACTCGATGGCCAAAATCTGGCCCGTGTAGGGATTACACACGCTTGGCGGCCCCATGTCGACCTTGGGCACCACACCACACTCCTGAGCTGTCTGTTGCTGTGACGACCAGAGGGTAGATCTCAGACTGCTGCCATTCCCTAAGCGGGGAGGGCCGGTACCACTTGCCGCCGCCGCTGTGGATCGACGCTTGGTAGCAGACGTACGAGAGCTTTGCATTCCTGTGCCATGCGGAGAAGGAGGAGGGGGGACGAGGATCAAAGAAGGAGTTTTGGAGTCATGCTGTGTGTGAAGTATGTGACTGTTGGCAAGGACAACAGAGGCCTATGAGAGGCCTCTCAGAATATTAAAATGGAGGGCTGGGTCAAGGCACATCATTCTGAGGACTGGAGTGCAATTCCACTCAAGCTGGGAACTTTTATTATCCACAAACTGAGAGACAGAGATCTACTTCGGACAGCTTCAGTTCAGGCCCAGTATATCATACCACCTTATAATTCCCCATCACATTTATTAAGAGTAATGTTAAAACGTGAAGAAAAGTTTTATTCTATATATAATAAGCACCATACAATTTTAAAAAATCCTTTTAATTGTATATGGACGTCAGAAAAGCCCGCATATGTTGCATTAATATCTTCTGTCATTTTAATTTGTATTATAGTTTTGCGAGAATAAGTGAAACAAACAAAAAAATCTTCGAATATGACAGATTGTAAACAGATTTTGTTGTAATATCTGTATGTTGTTTATATGCACTTGTCTTTTATGTCTGCACGTTGAGCCTGGAGACACGCAATTTCGTTCACCTATGTATCCGTTGTGTACTGTTGCATGGTGTGAATGACAAAGTTCACTTACTATGCATAAAGATTATATAAATGTTCTCTTTCAATATATACAAACATTTCAAGTATTTTTCAAAGAGCGTTAGATGGCAATAATTACTTGCAGATATTTTTAATTATGAGACTTAAAATATTAGTATACTTACAAAGAACCCCCCGAGCTGCCTCAAGGCTGCCTAGTAATGCCTTCCTAACATTTTGAAAATAAGTCGGAGTAACTCTCTTTATCTGGATATATTACACCGTGTCGGTAGCTTTTCGCACCCAATAGAAAACGCAGGCAGCCTACCTCAAAAAACAAACAAAAGTATATTCTTTTTAACTTACCTTTGTGTGACTAACACATTATGTAAGGACACATCCGGTTGGCCGATATCTAGAGGAACGTTTGAAAGGCGAACTACGATTGGGCCAGCACCGCGCGGGGCGGGGTAGCCCGGTGCGCGGAGCTGGGAGCGGTTGAGTTGGTCAGTACTGGCTGGGACTCGGTCGTGGCGCCGGGCTGTATGTGGTAAACCGCAACGTGCTTCTTGCCTGACTCGGATTTTAAACAGACGCGTGGATTCGGACCTCCGGCGATGTTGCTGTAACGTTGGTTCCGTCCATTTTTTGGGGGGCGTGGGGAGGATACACCAGCGTCCTACCCCTGTGCCATTTTTAAACAGGTAGTGGACACGGCGCTGGTCCTGAGGCTCCTGCCACGGGACACTTTCACACTCATGTCGGCGCAGGACGTCCCGT